AAAATACACCCCACCCACTCTCACATATTTTGGCAGCCAATAAGATTGGAAATCATTTCACTTTTTAATATATATATATATATATATATTCATTCAGTGAAACAAATTTTTTGGCTCATCCTATCTAATTAGGTCATATATAACTTACTTTATACATTTGATACATCATTAGGACTTGAATCAATAACATAAAAGATTAGGCTAAGTGTATAACTTTTTCCTAAATTAAAAGAAGCTTTTTTACTCACATAAGTGGTTAGAGTCAGATAGCTTTAATATTTTCTTATAGAAATATGTGATGTAAGCTTGAAAATATCTTATTCTTTTCTTAGGTTCTTTGGAGCTATTAAAAGAGATGATAATTTTTTTGATGTTTTTTTAGATAAATGGTGTTTTTTGGGGGATTATCTAGGTAATATATTATTTAATTCTTACTTTAATGTTTGTTTAGCATAATTGATTCAATCACCTAACATTATATATATATGATTTAGATCATGCGTGTACCATGGCCTGTTAGTAAGCAACCTTTCTGAATGTCGTAAGTCCCCTTCAACTCGCGGGTTTGAATCCCCATATGTGTAGGGTGTGGTACTCGAATATTTAGCACATCTGGGGTTAGTCAGGGCTCATCTAATAACCTTCGACTATATATATATATATATATATGATTTAGATCATTACAACAAAGGAGGTGAATTTTGAGACTAACACTATTGATTTTAGCTCAGACACCTATAATATTTTCTTATTAAAGTAAGTGGTGTAGGCTTGGATAGAAATGTTGTCATTTTAATAGAAGTAGACTATAATATAAGTTTAACTTAGTTCACTCAATAACACAATAAATCTTTGTGTGTGTGTGTGTGTGTGTGTGTGTGTGTGTGTGTGTTTATAAGGAGGTGAATTTCGAGACTAACACTATTGATTTTAGCTCAGCCACCTATAATATTTTTTTATTAAAGTAAGTGGTGTAGGCTTGGATAGAAATGTTGTCATTTTAATAAAAGTAAACTATAATGTAAGTTTAACTTAGTTCACTCAATCACACAATAAATCTATGTGTGTGTGTGTGTGTGTGTGTGTTTATAAGGAGGTGAATTTCGAGTCTAGCACTATTGATTTTAGCTCAGACACTATAATATTTTCTCATTAAAGTAAGTGGTGTAGGCTTGGATAGAAATGTTGTCATTTTAATAAAAGTAGACTAGAATGTAAGTTTAACTTAGTTCACTCAATCACACAATAAATGTGTGTGTGTGTGTGTCATAGAAATGTTGTCATTTTAATAAAAGTAGACTATAATGTAAGTTTAACTTAGTTCACTCAATCACACAATAAATTTGTGTGTGTGTGTGTGTGTTGCCTAGATCATTACATAAGAGAAGGTAAATTTTGATGTGTGTGTGTGTGTGTTGCCTAGATCATTACATAAGAGAAGGTAAATTTTGACACTCATACTAGTAGTGATTTAAGTTAAATTCTATTGAACTAAGTGATGTAGGATCATATAAAAACACTCTCAGTTAAATTAATGTTGGCTTTTGATATATATTTGATTTAGTTTACTCAATTACCAAAGTGATTCTTCCATATATAAATGGCTTAGATCATTACTCAAGAGAAAAAAAAAAATTTATACTCGCACTATTAGTTTTATATTAAATGCCTCTAATTTTTTTCTTTTTGAAATTAGTGATGTAGGCTTGAATAAAAAATGTTAACATTTTTTTTTTAATGTGGAGTGCATGATGCTTTTTCTAAGCTTCTAGAAACTAGGAATTTAAGAGATATTTATGAAGTCCCTCCTTCGAAATAAAACTCATAAGACGCAACATAAAATCTATGTGAATTACTTCATCCTTCAAATTTCTTTGAAGTATATGACTAATAGTAGACATTATACTTATTTTCATCAAGACCTTAAATACACCCATGTGCTCCAAGAAATCAATCAAGCCCGTTAAAAAATCAAATTAAGGAATTAAAAAAAATAAATTATAGGAGCATGTTTTAAAAGGATCTCATTGATGAGTATGAAAGATCAAAAAAATTCATCACAACTCTTATTGCTTGAACCCACCCTCTCTAATACATTATTTTGAATTGAAAGTGTCATCTCTTTGTCCAATTCAACATGAATAATTGTTGGTTTATCTTAAGTTATGAAACTACTCCATTTCCTCTGTCATGCAACTATTTTAGGACAATTATAATCCTTTAGTCCACTATTAGCGACTATTGCAAAACTCGAGCTTTTGCTTATTGAATTATATTTAACTTGGTGAAAGTTACACGAGCTATAGAATGGATCTAGTCTTATATTGTCAATGTAATCTTGTAATTGCTACTATATTTTCTTCCAAAATTTAGGACAACCATAATGAGAGCTAAATAATGAATGAGCTATTCAGTCATTTCTAGTTAAGAGAGCACTTTTGGCACATCTTAGAAGGTTGTGGTTTTTGCGTGATGCTAGCAGAAACAACAATAGGTGGGCTAGACTATTGAGTTTGTTGTCATGTTGTGCAAAATAGACTTAAAATAATGTGAAAAAATGAACTAATCATGCATCAGAGGGCAGAAGTAGATAGAAAAATTAAGCACATATCGTTCCAATGTCTAGAAATTGGACAAAATTTAGACAGTGGTGAAGTGGGGCATTTGACACTTCCACTTATTCAAATGCATGTTAGGAAGATTCGTAGAAAAAGGCTTAGTTGCAGGCATAAGACCAATAAAAAATGTATTAGGTTGATTGAATGATTATAAGTACTAAGAGAAGATTAGAATGAAGAAAAATAGATCTAAAATAATATTGTAATGATTTTTTTAAATGATTTATAAGAAAAGAGTTCAACGGCTCTTAAGAAACTAATAAAAATGTGGATTTTTAAAGCTACCTATTTGCTTAGAGGTGACACCCAACAAAATTCAAGCTAGATATTTTTTACTCAAACTTAAATATGTTTAATAATTTTTTTAAAAAAAATCTTGACTTTTATTATGTTTAAAATATATTTTATATTGATTATTTTTTAAACAAGCCGACTCACGAGCTAACGAGTCGAGTCAGGATTGGCTTGAGCTCGACTTGTTAGCTCATCAAACTCAATTCACAAGTCAATTATCGAGCTTCGCTTGAGCCGGCTCACAAGTGAGGCTGGCTCACTTACAAACTTAGTTGATGGAGTTGATTACAAGCATAAATAGGGAGATTACACAAAGATTAGCTTAAATTATTAAGCAACAATCAATTTATTTTTTCTTTGTATCTTTTAATTAATCATACCAATTAATAAAATTGCATTTAGCATCACCAACACAACAAACAAATATATAAGAGGAATAAAATACTACACTACTAAATGTATTTTCAACTTGGTGAAACCTTATCTGCTTACCCATCCATTCTCAGAGCCTCAAGAATACTTTCTATCCACCTACAAACAGCAAATATAGTGGATTTAAGAGAAATATATCATTCTTCCAGGTTATAATCATAATGAAGTTAAATTAGTCCAAATCATAATGACAGTTCCTCTTGCAGAAATCTCAAACATACCGCACAATTCTTAATGCATTTGCATATCTAACACCGAAAGTTTGATATTTATATTAATATCATATTGATATTAAAAACATATACATCCAAAGATGCATTAATGACGTGGATATTTTTTGTGATGCCAGAGATATCAATCTTATGTATGTAAATATTAAACATTAGGTGTTAGATATGAAAATATATAAGAATTGTGTGGTAGGAATGTAAATTCCCTAACATTTGAGAGTTAACGAGCGTACCCATCAAGACCTGGGCGGTCAGGATAATATACATTCTTCAGGCCTAACTTCTTCGCAGCCAAAGCCGTTGTTTGGCCGATGCAAGCAACAGATTTGTCCCAACTCTCTGATTTTGGAACAAGATTAACCCAAGCACTGCAGCCAAAAATATAATCAGAAACAAGAGAAAAACTGGGCAAATCCTACATAACAGATGAGAAAATACTGCAGCAAGCCATTTTAAATCATGAAAGAAAATCAAATAGAACATAAATAACCTGAGAGAGAGAGTGTGACTCTTTGTCTGGACCATTTTAGACGTAGAGTCTATAAAAATGCTAATTTAATCCCATCTTTTGGTTAAAACAGTTTTTCTGGGAAGTATTTCAGCTCAATATTAAAATAGTTTAGAAATTAATTTGACATATTTATATATTATGGGACTAGAATGGTCTCAAATGTAAATAGTTAGGGGACTATTTTGGCAGTACTTGAACCTAATATAAAAAGTGAAATGATCGCAAATACCTCATTTAATGTATGATTTAGGTGAACCAACAAATAGGTAGGATCTTCAAATGTTTGCATATCTTATTGTTGGAGATGGAAATGAAACAGTAGAAGTTGGGAGGCGATTACCGGATGGCGGAAGGAGAAGCTACAGCCACGACAGGAGCAGAAAGTGCTTGCGTCAAAATAGCGTGGTCTATCTCCTCAACAGGTTCCTGGAACAAATAGGGCCATAGAAGGGATCATTCAAACAGAATACATGTATTTTAATAAATACAAACCATCCCACAATAAATTTCTTAATCTGGGCTGTATTAGTTTTTAGTTAGTAGATGTTATATACAGATGAACTGAAAAAAGAAAGGAAAATATAATAATAATAATAATAATAATAATAATAATAATAATAATAATCATAAAGAACAAAAGCCGGCGGTTATAGCTAGAGAATATCATAACCGGTCTTTTTTTTTTTTTGACTTACCTATTAAAGAAAGCAGAATCATAAATGGTAATCGAGGAGATAAACTTTTGAAAATGTTGTCCTTAATAATAAAATGGAGAAACTATAATAACTTATTTGCATTGCTTGAAAATGATGGCTGCTTTATTTGATTTATGGCATCTGAGACTACAACTTACCAACGCAAAACCGTTAATATGCTGTTTTTTAAACCTGGTATAACATAAATGAAATCAAACAAATTTGCAGAACAAGAATTCTTGACAAATAGTTTCCTCAGAGAATCAGATTGAGGAAGAATTTGTAAATCACGCCTTCAATAAAGAATCAGATTGTATCAAACAAAAGAATGTTAAGAAAATGAAGTTGAGTTGAAAGAAAAAAGATCACCAAATCATATATCTCACTTTTATAAGGAGAGAACCTCTCATTAAAATATTCAGGCTTCCACTTCTATAAGGGAGAACGAGAAGAAATTGCAAATTCAATCAGGAATTTATTTGGAATTATCATTTATTCTTACATGTCTCAAACCCCATTTTATAATTATAAATTCCCTTAGAAAAAATCTAAAAAATAAGAGTTGGCCAGGAAAATCGTTCTGCAGACAGAAATCAAAGAAAGCTACAAATAAAAAAGCCGCTTGGGATAAGCCAGATAAAGCCAACCTGTTAAATAACAAATATTATGAAAAGTAGTAAATCTAATGGCTGCAAATATTCCTAATTTGTATGTCCTAATCCTCTCTTATTTATAGAAAGTGTTATAAACGATTTGGGGTATGTGTTGAATAGTAACCCTAATTCGGCCGATTTTTTCTCTCCCCACTTGTTGATAGTGAAATAACCTCTTCCTTGGACATAGGCGGATTTGTACTAAACCATGTAAATCGCACTATGTTTGGTTTTTTTGTTTGTTGTGTAAATTTGTTTTCCATATTGTTTTACACAATAATTGATATCAAAACTAGATCGGCGATTCCAAACACGGGTGACTGCGATTCCGATGGAGTCGCAAACGCAAGACAGAGATCGAAGTAAGTTGGGTTACGAGATCTGGTGAAACCATAAATAATATGTGGAACATCCCTCATGACGGTGGAAAAACATCAATTCAATAAGTGGTTATACATCCCATCAAGATCAAGTTGATGAAATTTGGCAAAAGGAACTTCAGCATGTAGCGATACAAACTGATATATGTGTTGTGCTCTTTGAATCTGAAGGAAATTATTGATAATGATGAACACCTTAAAGAGATGTCAAAAAGAGATTGGTTGAAAATAAACCAAAATGTGTGGCTTGATCCGAAATTGCTTATCTAAGGAGATCAAATATAGGGTGATAATTGAGACATTTGCATGAAACTTTTAGAGGACTTTGGCAAATAAATATCTCATGAAAAGCATGGGGAATCATTTTCATATGAAACGTCAACTCTACATGTTTCAAATGAGACGTCGGGTTACTATTGATGAGCACTTGAATAATTTTATAAAACTTTTGCCAAATCTGCTAAATCTGGATGAGAAGGTTGGAGATGAAGACAAGACACTTACTATAGAATTTTACACTCGGATAAGTATAAAAACTTCAAGATGATACTTATTAATGGGAAAGAGGCCTTGAATTATGGGGAGGTAACTACGACGTTGTTGAACCATGAGTTCCGTCAAATGGACAAAGAGTCTGCAAAGATGAACTCCACTGAGTCACTTAAACTCCAACGTGGCAGATCCGAGAAAAGGAATTACACAAAGATGGGTGATAATAGAGATACTTCTCAAAAACAGGACAAATCTCATGGGGGAAGCCATAAAAAATTAGTGTATTTTCTATTTAGAGACTGATCATTGAAAGAAATATTGTCCATTATTGAAGAAGAAGGGAAAGGGAATTCCCTCTGAGATGAAAGTCAATCTTATTGTAGAGAGGAGCGGCAAGGCAAATTCAGATGTATCATTATCTACAGTTTCTCATAGTCTATATACAAATGATTCTTGTTGGATTCTATACACTTGTGTATATCACATTTATCCTCATCAAGAGTGATTTTGTAAGTACAAGAAGCTGAATAGCGGTATAGTGAATATGGAAAACAATCAATCTTATTGAATTATTGGCGTAGACAACAACTTTATCAGGATGAATTATAGTACCATTAAGGAACTGACTGATGTTAGATATATTCCAGATATCACAAAGAATTTACTATAAATTGGGGTCTTAAAGGCCAAGAGCTACAAGATGGTTATTGAGGCAGAAGTTCAGAGGACATGTCATGGAGCACTGATTTTAATGAAGAGAGTTCGGCATCACAATATTTACAATCTTCAAGAAAGTACAGTGACTGGAACAACTGTTGCTGCTGATGATTCTTCTGATGCCACTATATTGTGGCATATGCGGCTAGCTCATGTTGGAAAAGCTTCACTTCAAGCTTTGGTGAAACAATGATTGATCAAACGATTGAGCACCTACAAGCTTGATTTCTATGAATATTTTGTGTTTAGCAAGAATATACAAGTATCATTTGGTAGAGTCATCCAAAGTAAAAATAATATTTTATAGCATGTTCACACAGACGTTTAGGTCTGACGAATACGATATCATTCGACAAACGAAAATATTTTATATTTTTTTATAGATGATTACTACAGATATATTTGTGTGTACACCACGAAGTGCAAGAACAAGGTACAAGAGATTTTCATAAATTGAAAAAAATGGATTAATACTCCGACTGGTAAAAAAATTCGATGTAGCAGATCAAACAATGAGGGTGAATATATATCATATGCTTTTTGCAAGGGTACCATAGAGCTGTGAAAGAACAACACTCCACTATCGGAGTGATGCCACAACAGAACAGAATGACAATGAGGATGAATCAAACTTTAGTGGAGAAAATTCAGTGTATGTTGTCAAAGGTTAGGTTGGATAGAGTTTATTGGGCCGAGATCATATGCTATGCTTATCACTTGGTGAATTGTCTACCTTCTGTAACTACTAGAAAAAAAGCCCTAAACAAGATGTCGTCGAGGCATCCAGAAAGAGATTATGAGCACATGAGTGTTTGAGTGTCCAGCTTACTACCACGCGCAGAATGATAAACTAAAATCGTGTGCAAAATGATAAACTGGAATCACGAGAAAAAAAGACGATCTTTATTGGCTTTAAGCGTGGAGTCGAGAGTTTCTAACTTTAGGATAAGATAGAAAAGAAGATTGTTATTAGCATGAATGCTACATTTGAGGAGACGTGCTTGTTGAAGCCTTGAAACTTGAAGTAGATGAAGAGTTCTATTGGGACAACAGATATGCACCTTCATTTATTCCATAGAATTCGTTCACTCCGACTCAGGTACTTGATTAAGTTGCAGTTCAGGAAGTTTTTATTGATAGTTCTCGGGAGAATGTGAAATATGTTGAGGATGAGGTCCCTGCTCATGAATCTATTGCTAGAAACAAGACCACAAGTCAGAATACCACAAAACCAACTCAGTTGAGGTATCATATTGCATTTGTACTTTCAACTATAGAGACTGAAATTTCTTGTCACTACAAAGAAGCAGTGAAGGACCCATAAGGTGAATTTTGGAGAGGGGAAATAGATGAAGAGATTGAGCCTCTTCGGAAGAAAACTACATGGAGATTGGTAAAACATTTTCCAGGAGAAAATGGTGCAAATGGCGTATGCAAAGAAGGAAAGATCTCATAGAGCTGATGTGTGATACAAGGCAAGATTAGTGACCAAAGGCTTTGTGCAATCGTAAGGAATTGACTATGACGATGTGTTCTCCCTAGTGGTCAAGCATCCATCGATCAGTGTTCTCTGAGCACTTGTAGCACAATCTGTCTGTTTTGGAGCAGCTTGAGGAGCAGACCGAGTTCCTACATGGAGAATTGCAAGAGTTGCAACCAACTAGATATAGAGTCTCAAAAGTCTTGATTTGCAGATTAGATAAGTTTTTATATGGGTTGAAGCAATCATCACGATAGTGATAAAAGAAGTTTGATCAATTCATGATCGGATAGAAGTACACGAGGAGCTAATACGATCACTATGTATATTTAAAAAAAAATGATTAATGGTGAGATCATCTACTTGCTTCTATATATTACAACATATTGATTGCATCTATCAGTTAGACAGAGGTTGACAAGATGAAGAAACAATTGTCCAAACTTTTTAAGGTGAAGTCGGATGAATCTCTCAAAATTCTTGGCATAAAGATTCTCAGGGACAATGTAGCTAGAAAAATTTGAATCTCGCAAGGAATATATGTTTGAAAGGTTCTGAAGAAGTTTGGGGTTGAGGCTGTGAATCTACCCATTGCATCTTTCTTTTAGTTGAGTTTAGATCAGTGTCCTAAAAATGATTAGGAGAGAAAAAATATGAGATCAGTTGATTACGCTAGTGCAGTGGACAGTCTAATGTATGACATGATTTGTACTAGACCATACATTTCACAAGCAGTTAGTGTTGTGAGAAGGTTCGTGCATGATTTATGAAGGAGTCATTGGAAGACTATGAAGAGTATTTTGAGATATCTGAAGGGTACAGTTGATGTCGGTTTGATATTTAAAAGACAGTCGTCTATTTTTGGACAGTCGTCTATACAGGTAATGTAGATAGGCGCATGTCTATAAGTAGTTATTTATTCACACTGAAGGGAGGTCCAGTCAGTTGGAGATTAGTTCTTCAGTCTACAATTTTTTTTTTCTATTATGGAGGCCAAGTACATAACAGT